ATTATCAAGCAGAACAGAGTAAGATCAACATGAATATTCGGAAAGATATATATCTTTGTAAAACAGTAAAAAGTGATATGAGCTTAACTTTGGTTAAATAAAAGATGAATAAACTTACATTTAATTATCTTTTTCAACAGACTTCTTTCAATTATAAAATATGAAGATTATTTTCATTACCAACGGATGTTAACTGAAAAGATCGATTGAGAAAATTGAAAAGCCATTTTGTTTTGTCTTGAACCTCCTTAATATCATATTTCCTTAATCTTACTGATAAATGAACTCAGAGTATTACTTTCAAATGTAATCTATGTACCAGTCAATCATAATCAATGTAAAGCCTGGCCTAAGTATGCTTCAGATCAAGTTCCTATATAGTACCAGCACGACAAGATGAAATTTTGATTAGATGAATAGCAAAGAAGTTTAAATAATCGTAGTATCAGTAATAGTGAAAAACACCGAACATTAAAAATATGGTTCGAGAAGAAGTAATGAAAAGGTATGTACAAATTAGTATTGCAACTGAATATCTAAAGATACGTAAGTAGTGGATTCGTTTACTCCATTATGGAGGCTACTGACTTATTTTATCCGACGTTTTTAATCACTGACCGTGGTTAACGTGCTTACGTCAACTAAGTAGCCTGAATTTACTAACATGACTAAGGCTAGTAACAAGTGGTTTTGTAGACTGATGTCACGTCTTGATTTGATCATATCTGGCTTTCTCGAAACTCCTAACATCGTACATCGAGTTAGACAGCGATTGTACATATTTAATACATGTTCCAACCACTTCATTTAAGGAAGTTTCACATCTTCATTAACGGCTTGACATTTTTTGCTAAGTGACATATGCCTAACCTCAAAATTGTTTGCTTGTTCATCCAAAGATACATAAGTAATACTCTGAAATCACTATTGATCAAAAAATTGCAACCTGTTCATAATTCATACTTTAATAGATCATATCTTGCAACTATCGAATGAAACAGACAGGACCTCTGCGTCGTACATTCATTCCATCCATGCTACAAATAATTTAATTTAGTAAAAGTCAACTAAATTTTCCACATCTATAGTGATCAATCTGTATGTGATATATCACAATCTTTAGTAATTATCATTATGCCTAATTGGTTATTTTCATAGATCATTACTTCTTTGCTCTTCATTTGTAAAGATCTGTATACTATACTGGAGTTTATTTTCAAGGTTAAGTTTTAATAAGCTATTGACTAGATATATATGTACGACTTCAGTGGATGGTACAATATTGTTTTATCTTTTTTTTTGATCACACTTTCCATTATATTTGAATTGTAACCAACAATAGAATTCATATCAGAAGGGGGGTTTGTGGAGATTGTAGTAATTACAATAGTTGAAATCATGAGTCAATTGAAGTTAGACCACCATGAAAAACGTGGAAGCACTCGACGGGCGTTTCGTTTGATTTTTTAACACATCAGTAAAACATATGTTCAATAATCTGAAAATATTTCTTTATCACCATTCTTATTTATTATGATTATTTAAATTTAATATATTTCAATAGAATAATTAATGTTATTTCATTGTATATTGATGATTGACAAAAGGAAATTTAAGTGAACATATTATAGTTTAAATGTATACTAGAATGATTGTATTTTCACATTATTCAATTCATAAAACATATTTAACACTTGTGTAGTTGGTAAATTATGAAATATTAAGTAAAGGAAAAAAAAAGAGGAAAAAAGAAAAAAAACCTCTTTACGAATGTATCGTGTTTAAATATACAATTTTAAAAGAATACAAGTAATGAATGTGTTTTCTAATTCCAACTGAGTAAGAAATCATTGTGTTTGTAAAAAGAAAAGTTATATATTATGAAAAACTATTCAGAAATATTATTGCTACTTGTCAACTACATATATATATATATAATGATACGTACACATGTACATCCCCCCCTCATCTAATAAATATCATTGTTTTTCACTCTGTCGCCTATCTGTATCATACTTTAATTGTATTTTTAATCTTTACATTTAGAGGGAAACAAAAGGAAATAATTTAAACTAGAGAGAGAAAGAGAAAAAAAGAAAGAAAGATAGCACTAATACAATTGCTATTAGTTATTTCTTCTAGAACAATCAAGTATGTATATTTAATAGTGAATTACACTACTTTATACATTATGACTATGTACCGGTAAAATGAGGAGCAGGAAGAGAACGTAAAACATTAAAAAAAAAGACATTAAGTAGAAAATTAAAAGGATTTTTTTCTTTTATTTTTAGTCTAGGAAAATGTTTTTATTTCTCATTTACGTTTATCCATCTATTTATTCATAGATTTGTAATTTTTTTTTCATCTTTGATCTATATTTTCATTATGTTGGTCAACTCCCCTCCTTCTAGTAGTATAATAAAAAATGATAGTACTCATTATTAATATTATTATCATCACTATTATTGTCATAATTACTTTTTCTTCCCAAATCATCGATAAAAGGGGTTATTACCAAGTTTTCTTTAAGGATATAACCTCTATTTGGATATTCATTCTATTATTTGATGTAGGTTGCTTATCTAAATGCAAGAGTGGTTGTAAATATATGGTTTTCATGTTCTGTTGTGTATACAACTGAAAGTATAAATACTATTATTTGTGTATTTTTGAACAACCGATTATGTATATATTGTAGTGAATTGTGTGCGATTTGTTGTTCTTTTATCAATGACAAGTTTTCTTCTTGTTTAACTACTATCTGTTTCTTCTTTTATCTTTTCTTCTGTTATTCTTCTCTATTCATTTGGTATACCAGTGAATTATACAATCATACGAAATACAGGAAATTGCACAACATAACAAATTTCTTAAGGAGATAGTTATTCATATACACACACTCACGCGTACGCACAGTAGCATGAATATACATGTACATGAACGTAGAGGAATGCAAAATGTGTATTATATAAAATAAGAAATAAAAGAATAAAGGATTAGGCAAAGATTATTCACTGATTAGTTATAGTTAGCTTTTTTAGTTTTATTTGTATTCAGTAAACCATAATGCACAACTGTGATAATTCAAGATAATATAGACGGGATTAAAGTAAAGCTAGAAAACATGAATACTTTAAAGTTAACCTTATTTCCTATCGTTTGACTTCTTTCAAATAATATATATATATATATATATATATATATATATATATATATATATATATATACATATATATGAGGTGGAGTGAATGAGCATACTTTGTAAAATCTCTCTCTCCCTTGCTCTCCTTTCCTATAGAATTCATGTTACTCTGTCCTACAATGTAGTATATATATGCAAGAGAGGATAACAAGAGAGTACGTAGCAATTAATTAGATGAACATTTGTTTAATTAAGTAATCATTTTCTAAATGTTTTTACAGTCAATAATATAAATGAATCGGATTAAGTATTCATTATTTAGAAACTATATTTATAAGTTTTATATAAAGTGAAATAGATAAAGAATAAACAATTAGTAAGGAATAGTTTTTATAAAATGACAATTTCGTTGCATCTATAATCAATAATCGATTTTATGAACTATCCTCTAATATTACTCAATAATTCATTCAAATGGTTTCAGTTTACATTGACATAACTTGATTTTTATTTTTGTTGCTAAGCTTTTAGAAGCAGTTTTAAACAGTAGTAAGATACAAATTTCTTAATAATTTTTAGCGAAAATATCAGATAGATTGGTTTATTATCAAAAGGGTTTTTGTGGAGATTTTAGTAATTTCAATAGTTGAAATCATGAGTCAATTGAAGCTAGATCACCATGGAAAACCTGGAAGCATTGGACGGCCGTTTCGTCCTAGTATGAGGCTACTCAGCAGTGTGCATCCATGATCCTGCCTCTCGCGATATTCGAACTCAGGGCTTATCGGTTTTGCGCGCGAGCGCTTAACCATTAGACAATGGTGTACGGTGGCAAAATTTCGAGGATTGGTTGGAGTTGGACATTAACACCATTGGATGCCGGCTCAGCGGTCAAGTATGTTAAGCGTTCGCGCGCGAGATTGAAGGCCCTGGGTTCGAATCCAGTGGGCGGGATCGTAGATGCGTACCGCTGAGGAGTCCTACAATAAGATGAAACGGCCATCCAGGGCTTCCAGGTTTTCAATGGTGGTTTAATAGCAATCGGCTCATGATCTCAATCAAAATTTCATTAAGTGTTACAAAATAATTTCATTCTACTTGTAAACACTTTCTTACAAATGCAATTAATCCGATATGGAAATAAATCAATATTTATTTTTCTTCACCTCCTCCTACCCCTTTTTTACTTTTCTCTCAAATATAGACTCCACTATCCAATTATCTGAACACTTCTTACTACGTCATCTTACAATTTTATAAATGTTATCTCACCGTCTATATTTTTCTAATCACTGACCTATTTCCGATTATGTAACATTGATTTAAGCCTTTATTATTCTTATGACAACTAGTACACCTGTCATCACACTATTAATTTATACTTTTCACTTATTATGTAATCTTTTCCATTGTTATCGTTGACTCATTAACTACTTTGGTTTAATAATTTCGTATATGCATATACATATTACTGTATATTAGAGTAAAGCCTGATGAGGATCTAATCGAAAACAATATTGTTCGCTTAGATATGTTATTCTAAACATTTTGTTGAGTTAATTATTTCATTACTTACTCACTTTGTAACATATTTATAGTCTTAATTATTATTTCTATTAGTAAATAGTTTGTTTATATTAATTTAGTTGATTGGAGATGTAATTTATGGTTGTTGTTCTTTTTTTTTGGAAAAAAACAAAGTCCATTTAAAATGTTGAAAAATTTAATTCAAGGCTAAACGACTATTTCTTGAAATTCATGGTTAAGATCTTCTTGACACGAGAAGTTTATTATTATTGTCCTTATGTTCTTCTATCATTATTCTTAGTGTTCGATACTATTTTTATATTTTCAGAATGGCGGACGTCCCGGTAGTTTACATGGTATTTCATTGATTGCACAAAGTCCTGTTCGTAATGATGTGAACTTAATGTGTGCGAATTCCGGCATTGATGTACATCATATCCCAGGACCATATTGGAACACACAAAATGTACAAAACGATCTAAATTCAAGATCAACCAATGGATTATATCGATCACATAGTCCTTCTAATTTATTATTAAATCAATCAAACAGTAAATTGATTAGACAATCAACTGAAAATACCTCATTATCAACTTCGTCACCGAATTCACTAATAAATTATCATACAAATTCATTAAATGATCACCCAATCAATAATTATTCATCTGGGTGCTTATTAAATCCAACAATGTCGAATTTAATCCCACCACCTCCAACCCTACCACAACCATTATTACAAACATCATCATTAACAGGAATTCCATCTTTATTGTCAACTTCATCCACTCCTTCATGTATATCATCATCAGGACAAAATTTCAATTGTATTCAATCAAATAACTTCAGTAATTCATCATTAAATTTACCAATGACGGGAACAACAACAAATGATATCTCATCAGCAAATCATTTAAGATGTAATAGTTTATTGATTCCTTCAAATGGTAACAATGTAGATACTACTGTTATTAATACAACAACTACTACTAATACTAATTCTACTAATCCTACTACTAATAATAATAGTACAAACATGAATCAATCACATTTTTTAAATGAACGTTCAGCGCCATCATTTCAACAATTGGTAAGAATATTTTAATATGATAATCTTTACAAAAAAAAAGAAATTAGAATTCTTTACGATAATAGAAGTCTAATGATATGAACACTTCATTAGATTATTATAAATTACAATTTCCTCAATTAATGATATTGTATTCCACAAATACACAGACACCAAATGCACATTTCACTGTTCATTTGATAACACGTTTAATTACCTATCAAAGTTATAAACATTTACTCACCACGTTGAATAACCTAATAATAAACATAAACAAACAAACAAACAAATAAACCACGTCTATGTTGTTAACAGACATTTTATTTGATTAATTTTAATTGAACTGTAACAAATTGCAAAATTTTTAACATTTTCAGTCTTGTGGTCTCTACTATACGTATTGTGGTATTCAATAATCTAATCATTTTGTATCTGAGATAATGTATCTAAAATTCTGTTTTACTATAAAAAAAATGTATTAAACAGTAAAGAAATGAAAGTCACTTTGATCACAAGAAATTATTTAGTATGATCGATTGGCAGGTTAACTTAATACATTAGATCAAAGTAGATGTCAGTTGGCTGTAATAGATTATAACCATTAATAGTGAATGAATAATTTTAAAATATCTACGTTAACAACTACAATAAAAAAAAAAGGTGAACAGAATAGTGTATGGAAATATTTCCAGGATATTTCCAGGATTTGTAGCTTTATTTATTGATTCAAATAAATTGAAGTTTCGAATTTTTCTAAATGAATTATTGGTTTTCACCATCATGATACACTTTATATAAGTGAATCCAATGTAGTTCTAATCCGTGAATATGTATATTGACAAAATAACTATTTAATTACATCATAGATATATTTTCAAGTAATTTGTTTTGTGAAATACGAATTGAATGGGGAAAAATCTACATTAATACCAGAAGGGGGGGTTTGTGAATATTACAGTAATTTTAATAGTTGAGATTATGAGTCAACTGAATCTAGACCACCGTGGAAAACGTGAAAGCACTGGACGACCGTTTCGTCCTATTGTGGGACTATTTGGCGTTGCACATCCACGATCACACCTCGTGAGATTCGAATACAGGGCTTATCGGTTTCGCGCGCGAACGCTTAAACTCTAGACCACTGATCCGGCATCCGACTAATCCATGATCTACATTCTTAAATGATAATGTTATTGATCGTAAATAACTTATCAATAAAATGATTAAACGTTTAGTTTATTGATTTCGAGTTTTTCAGTGAAATAAAACATACAATTAGCTATGGAAACAATGAAGTGGGCCAGGGAAAAGAAATACATGCAAAAAAAGTTAGTTACATTACTCAAAAGATTATGCAACAAATGGGGAAAATAAAAATTTAATGTTGATATTTAGTCCGTAAATTGAAACCAGTACATAAGTAAAAATAAATGAGTTATGTAGGTAAAATAAAATCAAAATGCGGTTAGTAAAAACATTAATGAATGAATCAATGACACTATTCTAATTAGATAATTAGTCCTTTATTGTATTTGTTAAGAAAGTGAGATTTATCTTAGTTACTAAGTCTTCAGGTAGTTGAATTAATTAGACCATAAATTATGAGAGTTCTGATCAGATTAATCATACTGATAAATATATAAATAAATGAGATTATATTTCATTTATCATAGATCTTCATTTGATCAGTATTATGGTATATATATATAGAGAGAGTCAGTATAAATTAAATACGATCTATGAATACTTTAAGCAAATAAAATTATGTTTGGATCATCTTTTGCTTCAATGTAACTTCATCTAATTTTTTTCTAAAGATATTTTGAAGAAAAAACGTAAACTTTTTACAAATTCGAATGACATACTCATAAAAATGTAATATACATCAAGTGCAAATTGAAATTAGTCATATTTACTATGAAAGTAAATAAAAACAGTTTACATCACATTAAAATATAGTTGTAATGTCTGGATTATGGAGATTACTTATGCGAATAGTAAATAATGCTTTCCCATGAATATACCTATCAATAGATGAGCATAAAAGCTAACCTCAAAAAAGAACCGATATATATATATATATATATACTCCGATGATATTGGATTAGTAGCTTAATTATGTACATCACAGAAGGGTTATACATGGTACATTAACTTAAAAAAGCACCTTCAGGTTTACTGAAGGTTCATCGAACACAGTTTGTGTACACTTTGTTCTTATTCTTTTTAGATGAATGTATCTAAAATGGTTCTGATGCATAAATCACTCTGTCAGAAACATATATATGGAAACTATATTCTAACATTATTTGTGTAATGAAAGTAGGAATCTTTAATACCCTTGTATTGTTGTTACTTTTTTATAACATGAAATTTACAAAGTATTAAAAAAATACAATAATTTGGTGTTTGGATGTGAATAAGTACATAGATAGAATAGAGCATACATTTGATAGTAATTTACAAGTAGAAGAGAATGTTTCTTTTTACAGAAAAAAAAAGAAGAGAATTCTAAAAAAAAGATAGAGCTAGAGAAAAACAATGTAATGTTGATTTCCTATGGTATCTCTCTCCCTTACCCTTCTGAAATGAATCAATTGAATATATATATATGCTAATGATGAAGATAGACAGATTATATGAAATACAATTTATTTGAATAGAAGGGAGAATTTATTGAATAGTGATGTACTGGTAAATATGTCTTAATTGTACAAATACTTACATAAATTCATATATGTACATATATATGTATACAAATGTATGTCAGTAATCTTTGTTTTCATGGTCTACAAATGAAACAATAAATATTACTTCTTCAAATCAATTGACGAAATGAACTAAATGACAGTTCTCTAGCATGAAATAAAATGTTATCCATGAAATGTAGTCTTTACATTTTAAATCATGGATCAATGTTAGTTGAAAGAGTATGAGATATTGAATAAAGCATATACTCCATGCTTTATAACATTTTGGTAGTAATCCAAAAAGAAAAGTTCTCAATTAACTGTTTGAAGAAGTCAATTCAACTCTCTATTCCACTGACCTACGTAAATAATTAGATTGATTAGTTGTGGTGATAACGGGTTAAAGAAAATAATAATAATAATAATTGTTTAACATTCTTGTTGATCAAGTTGTCCATGGGATACTTGCATTGATACACTTGAAATAGTTGAGTTATTTAAAATGAATAAACTTTGTTTAACTGCTTAAGTAAATGAAAAAAATATTTTAACTATATTGGTTAGTAGAATGTTTCTTTTATAAATGATGACGTAATATTGAAATCTTGTTGTTATGTATGTATGAACTCCTAGTAGGAAGCTTTTTTAAACCACTATCAATAAACTTCCTGTATTCGTTTACATTATCAAAAGATCACGTATATCATGGAATTCGTTCTTTGATCAGAACAGAAGAAGCCAAACAAGTGGTCACAAATACCCTTATTAGGTAAACTTATAACTTCAGTAATTATAGGGTTGAAAAGTACTACACATTAAAAATCCTGTTATTTACATATCTAAATATTCTTATTAGACAAATCTGAGTAAAACAACAATAAGTTGGTTTAGAATTTATGAAAGTTTAGATAATATTGAGACAATTGACGAGTCATAATGGAGCTTCCTATTTGACCAGTACTCATTAAAAACATATAGATTAATTCATTAGATCAGAAGGGGTTTTTCTGTAGATATTATAGTAATTTCAATAGTTAAGATCATGAGTTATTTGAAGCTAGACTACCATGGAAAATCTGTAAGCACTGGATGACCGTTTTATCCTATTGTGGGACTCTTCAGCGGTGTGCATCCACGATCCCGTCTCGCGGAATATAGAATGGATCTCCCATTTTATATCATCTTTTTTTCTAATTCCATTAAAATAACTTTCATATTATTAACCAGCTTATTTTAATGAGTTTAATGTTCAGGTTTAGCGACATTGCAAGTTAACGGTATAAGTAACTATAGAAATAAAGTGATAGAGCTTATAAAATTTGTCTTTGTTCCTTTATACTATTCAAATTTATATTAGTTTTATTCGATAATTCATTTATTCCCTGAAGAAACAACTTAAAACAAGCAATCAAATATCAGAAATCCCATTTCATACTCACTAGAATATTATGAATTTATCACTAATTTTAGTATTAACAGACTGTTTAGTGTTCAATTTATTCAGATTTATGTAATGATACTTACAGATAGCTAATTCTTATAGTTTTTTTCAATTGTCTATCTATTGCTTAAAAATCTCATTTGTCCTATGTGTTTGTTATCGTTATTTATATTGCACAAAAGAATTAATCATTCAAATATACAAAGAGAAATACATATTTATTTACTTAAATTATAAAATATATGTTGAAATTCGACTTTTCTTCCCATCATATCACCTTCCCTTCTTCTTTTTTGAAGACTCAAAGTTTAGATCCTGACTAAATTTTCTGACTTTATCCTCTACACAAAATAATGTTGGGTCCTCATATTCCCAAGTTACAGTTAGTTTAGCTCTATTTAAAGCATATTTCCAGCACTGAGTAGGAAGTCCACTAGAACTGATTAGATGGTAAGGATCAGCGACACTAGATATGAGGTCATTATGGTTTGATTCTTGTGAAAAATTTTCATCAAATCTCTTGAAAATTTCATTAGTAGATGATCGATCACTGGAATAATCAGCATATATCAAAATTTTATTAGGTTCTTCATCATCTTTTGATGCATCCGACAAATTTTCCTCATTTTTGTAAGAAGTTTGGTCAAAAACATGTGAATCATTAAGATAACTCATCTGGTAAAACAACTAGAGAACCCCAATACGTACATTCATCAGAAATTTTTGTCGTGAAATGATGAGCTCCATTTAATGCGACTGTCTTAATTATGCTGCTTGATTCATTTTCTGTTTCTTCGTGGGCGGGTACTGCAATAATTTCATCAGCATTTAATAAGAAATCGTCTTTCTGTGAGCTGGACAAGTCAGTGATTGTACATGGTGTTTCGGAGGCAATGGGATTTGAA